AAAAAAAAAAAAAAAAAAAAAAAAAAGGGAAAAAGTCCTTGGGTCCACGTTGGTTTTTGGAACGGAAGCTAGTCTCAAGCCTAAGCCTAAGCAAGAACAATACCTAGTTCGTAAACTCAACAAGACCGAACCTTGGTAGGTGCATTCATCCTCAGACCAATTCTAGTTTTGGCCTACTTTAACGACTACTTTTCGAGACTAAGCCATGAACAGAAATTAGTTTTAAACTTTTTAAATGTACACACTTAAACGAAAATTTTAAATTTAAACGAACTTTCAAAATACAATTGTCATATAATAAATACATCCATGAATCTATTAAATTATTCAAATAATCAAAAGTTGGTTAGTAATCACACATCTCGAGGATGATATTAAACCTAAGTTTTCGTGGGTTTACCTTGAGTTTCTCAAAATGTCTCATACTAATAGAGATGTATTGTATTTATTTACTTATAAATTTATGATCATTCCGGGAGTAAGCGGAAATTCACTCCCAACCCGGTACTAATCTAAATTCAAAATAAAAGTTAAAAAGTATAATTGAAAAAATAAATTTGTTGACTCGATCAGGACTGTATATTGGGATGGCTTTTGACGCAGGCCCTGTGGTTGAAAAATGAAATGAATTCTTCCCTCATTTCCAGCGATTTTGGGGAGGTTGAGCCCTACCGGGGCGCTTATGATTCGGGAATGCGAATATGCGCGCCGTCCAACAAGAAGATGCGGATTCTTTTCACTAATTCGCATCTTCTTATTCTTATTCTCCTTCTCCTCCATTTTCCACTTCCAGCACCCAAACTCCACTTTATCTCGCCTCTGAAACCGAACCACCGCGCCTCTACTCAATCTCGCCGCCGGCATCTCCATCAATATCTTCCTCGTCTTCTTTCAGGGTACCTATAATTACCCATTGTATTCATGAATGAAGTTTTCTATTTCTCTCCCCTTTCGTATCTCAAATATTTTCCCTCAATTTCAATCTGGAATCCCTTCTGGGGTTTCCCCTTTTTTGTGTTTACTTTCCTGAAATGTCGGATTTCTTAGGCCCCCATGCGTTCGTTTCATCTTAATTACGCCTCATGCCAATGGGAGTTTAGAAATGCCGATAAGGTGTTTGATAATATGCATCATATTTGTTTTCCCTCCATCCTGCTTCCAATTTGAGCTTCCAATGATTAAAAAAACAAAGATTAAATAATGGGCATGAGTTTTTTTTTATTTAACATTTTATAATTTTAAATTTTGTTTTGGGAGGTGTTCTTCAGTGATTTGATTTAGAAGTGAGTTATAACTCTGATTTTTACTTGTGCAGTTGAATATAGGAGTTCGGAGTGGACACAATTATTTTGTTCGATGTCAGCAGATTCTTGCTGACATTGAAAATGATTCAGCTTATTACTGAAACTCTGATGGGTACCCAGAATAAATCGAACTCTTGTAGAGCCCTTGAAGGTCTGCATGGGGTTACTGTTGTGCCTGATTCACACTTCGCGCTGGATGAGACTACACGTGATGGGAAGTTTTCTCAGTTGAATTGTGGAAGTTCAGCTTTAAGTGTGAACCAGCCATTGATTATGCAGTAAGTACACACCCAGATTTCCACCAGCTTTAATAGGGTGAATGACAAAATGTTACCATGCCGTTGTCTTAACAGCTTTTTTCATGATCTTCAGATGGGTATGGGAGCAAAGACCATCCTGTTTGAGACCTGTTGGGGGTTGTATACAAGGTATAGTCTTGAAATTGTTTCACCTTCGTAGCATGTTTTCCTGAAATGTTCTCTGGAGGAGGCTTGAACCTAGGACCTTGAGAGTTCTCTAGCATTATTTATAGAAAATTCCTAGATATTTATCCTTTTGTTATTTTGTTGGTAGGTGATCGGAATCTGGCTGAGAGGGTGGCTAACGTGCTTACCTCACTTCCTTTTATAGCTCTAGGAATTCAGGCACCAAGGTAATGAGTGCTGAAAATTTTCTTGCAACAATAGATGCATCTGTCTTGGTGTTTGTCTGATCATTTGAGTTTTCTTTTGAACACAGGAAGAATTTCTCAATGAAGCTATATGCTAATTCATTGATTGGAGTTGGAGTTGCCTCAAGTTTATATCATTCTTCCAGAGGAAAATTGAGACAATACCTTAGATGGGCTGACTACACAATGATAGCTACAGCCACGGTGGTAAGTTCAAGTCGAATTGTTTATTGAAATAGACTAAGTGGCTACTTTACTGGGTTGCCAACTCTCCTAAGGCATAAAACTTGCTACTGTGGGCTCTCTCTAATGTTAAAGTATGATTAGGCTTTTATGCTTTGAGTTCCTTTTGTATGCATATTTGAAGTATCAATTGTCCAGGACAACGCTTGATATACTGGTAGTCATTCTAAACTATGTTGCAGTGTTTGACAGGAGCTCTCAGAAATGACAACCCGAAGTTGTTGATGGCTGCATCTGCATTTCTATTACCTTTGAGGCCTTTTACGGTTTCTGCTCTTCACACAGGGATGATGGAGGTAACCTTTTGGTGTCACTGTTATCTACCGTTCATTCCTTTACATGTTTCAATATTCTTTATGTTTCTGAAATCAATTGGCAGCATTCTATAGAAAGATCTGTTGAATGAAGCTTCATTTGCATACGTTAATGGTTTACTTATGTAATTTACATTTTTATTTCATGACTCAGGTAATATTTGCAAAAAGAGCTTTGAAGGATCCAGATTTAAGGATGGCTCACAATGTGCATAAGATGTCAACAATATTAGGTGGTGTACTTTTCATTGCTGATGATGCTTTGCCCAAAACTCCATTTATTCATGCAGCTTGGCATCTTGCTGCTGCTGTTGGTGTTGGAACCTGTAATAAGCTTCTTGTGTAATTGTTCACAAGAAACATAAATTCGTCGACGTCTCAGTCTTGCTTTCTCGAAGAGCAGCATTATACCCTTGGAGGATTATCTCTGCTGGTCGTTATTTATCGCGATCCAGGTTCGATCAATGATTGCTCTATCAGATTAGTTTTTTTTTCCCATGGAATTGTAACTTATTCAAGAGTAGACAAGAACAGCTATGCAAAAATACTCATCTCTGAAAAGCTTTTGAATGTAATGAATAAGCAATTGTTTACATGTTTTGTTGTTATAACAACAGAGATATCCAAAACGAATATGAAAAGATATATCTAACAAAACTACACTCACACTTTTACAGTATTGATCTGCACTCTTAACCTAAAACCTATGACAAAAATCTCAGGAACAATGGGAAGAAAAGAATAACTATGGTGAACAAACAAGTGTTTTTCTACAGCTTGTTAGATACAGCAGCTGCAGTTTCAAAGGTAAAACAAAAACAATGCCTCAGCCAAAACCTTACAAATGCTCTCAACCAAAATAAACTGCGGTCGTCCAAATCTTAGAAAGATGCAACTCCTCACACAATCCTATTTTCAGAAAGAACCAGATCAATATGACCCCCCTACTACAAATCCTTGAAGATCCCGAATCAGGGTGTGCCCTCTCGCCGTGTTGAAAGGGAAAAAAAAAATGAAAGAATTACAAAAGAAAATGGATGGTTAGCAGCAATATGTGTTGGCAAGATTACATTTCTAAGGGTATATGGCCCCATCGAGTCTCCCACTCTGAAAATCATCAAGGGGCTGATGACGATTTTGTAGCGTTTGATTTGTTGGTAAAACACATGCAATCTGGACAAGGGAAGGTGTATATCGAGTCGTTTGGTCTTTTGAGCTCAAACCCCTTGGAATCACTATGACTCCGCATGATGAACATATGTCTCTTAAAACTTTTCCATCTGAGAAAATGAAACAAAAAGGAATGATAGTGAAGTCATATCACATATGTACCTGAAAGTAGCATTTGAAAGGATACCAGTAGCCAGCAATTAATGCAACATGTTTTGATGCTTTATAATTTCCGAACAGATATTCGTCGCATAGTCCATCTGATTCAGCGTGTCTAAAAATATACATTACAATCTAGATGGCATACCAACCAGACCCTAATATTTCCATAAGACCCTCGGCCACCGAGACCGAGTGTTCGTAAGGGTGGCAGAGGTTTTACATTGTGCATGTGTTATAGCATCAGTTGGCTTGACTGTTCAACATATATAGGGAACCTCATATTAAAAAACTATGCTAATCAGCCTTGAGTAATACGATTGAGACGAGTAGCACGTACCCGGTTGTAGGGTTATCGAAAAGTAATGCTAACTTTCGCTTGTCCGGCTTGACCGTTTTGGAGTGTCCACCGTACAAGTATCTTCTATGGCCAATCAGAAAATGAGGGAAGTTGCCACCCTGTGTTGTCACAAATACCTCGCTGTGGAGACAAACTGTATAGTCTATAGCAGCCATCCTGGAAGAAAAATTCTGATAACAAGAACTAGCACCTTCAATAAGAGACAAACAAACTAGATCTCCAATCATAAAACAAATAACTGAGAATTCAAAATCACAAAACCTTGAATGGAGAAAGTTCTTCAGGTGATGCCAGCATTTCCTTCGTAAGCAGATTCGGAAACATCTCCAAAAGCGGAGCCATATTTCTCTCAGCATCATATATCTTTCCCGACGCCAAATAAATAAACGTGCTATTATCGAATCCCATTCCCCTAAGCATTAAGCCAACCTGTTGAATACAAGAAAACAACACACCTGATCTCACAAGAACACACTTTTTAAAAATTTCATGAAGTATAGCACACACAGCACGCACCTCTAAAGGAGTCATTGGACATTTCCCGTTAACCCTTATCGCACCGGGACGTATAACTCTACCGGGTTTTGTGAACTTCCCTTTCCATCCTTTTTCTCTGGCTGCTTTCATGTCTTCCACTTCTTTAGACCCACCATCAAAAATACAACACGAGAATGCAACCATATCCTGGCACATCATGTTAACCATGTATAGGTTTTCATTAACTCTATTATGGGATCAAAATACATTCAAGCTTTCAAAAAGTACCTCCTCAAACCGAAGATGTACAGAAATATACTTCCCACCATCTCTGGCACTGCGTTCTCTCATCCTAGCAACCAAAATCTCTCCCAATGATAATATAGGAGTAGAGAATCTCAGCGCTCTATAATTTGCTAAACATCGAAGGCGTTGAACAGCAGGAGGAGCATCAAATGATAGTCGATTTGCAAAAGGCGAAATTCTTATGACCCTGTAATGAAACTCCAAATTATGCCAGAAACTAAGATCAAACTATTTACAGCATGGATTATAACAACAAGATTAAGATCCACAAAACATTACAAATGGCGTACACCACTCGTATACAGTTCGTCGTAGATATACATTATCTGCTTGTTTTTCCACAAGAAAATCTAAAAAGCAGTACAGGTTTTCTTTCTCGTCATACAAAATGAGAATAAAAATATGATGGGGGGAAAATATCTTCCACAAACATTTAACCACAAGCTAATAGTCAGAACAGAAACACTCACAGTTCATCAAGTAATCTTGGAAGCACAGTATCCCTGTAGTAATGAATGGACGACCATGCCTTTATTCTGAAGTTGTAGACATTAGTCATGTTGTGGTCGAAGCGTTCCATAATGTATTCTGGAATCTTGTTTACAATGCGCACATCATTCTCTAACGTCTTGATAAAATATTCCTCATCATATATTTCGCTGAACTTGCTGAACAACAAAATACAACATTAAATCAATTAGCCTTGAAACACGGATGCATTGTGCAGATCAATGTACTACAAGCCCATAAAGTCGAAATGGAAGGAGAGCCAAAGGTCTTCCTTATAAGCAATAACCATTTGTGCCTCTTCCTAATAACCTAAAAAATGTATGATACCAATTAACCAGGAATCTAGCTAGAAATGGATGCACATACTCAATAATAGATAATGTTATAAAGAACTTTACAAATCCAATCAATTTCTATGTTATTGACATAAGCTGACAGCTTTACAAAGGTTTATAGAATTCTAGCCTTTTCTTAGAACATTAACATCAAGCATAGTAAAAGGTGGTATAATTTGTAGTCCAAAGACATACCTAGGATCTCTCCAAATGCTGTGGAAATGAAAATTAGGGATTACAAGTGTTGCATTTAGATAGCCAGCCACAGCAACTGCATTGCATATCTGCAATACATAGATAACAGTAACAACATAGAATGAGAAAAGGCAATGTTTACAGAGAAACCTAGTTCCTAGGGAATGGTTTCTTTCATGGGATTGGGGTAGTAGGTGGTTTAAGGAAATAAGAAATTAATGATGAGGTAAAAGAAACCAACTGATGTTCTTTGCTGATTTAGACCACCGTTTGCCTCAACATAAATATATCCATTCGACTCAGGTAGGCCTATCAAAAATTAAAGAAACCCCAAATGAAATTGTGAAGAATAAAAGAAACAGAAATTTAAATAAATTTTAGTAGGCAGTATGTAACAGCCCAACCCCACTCTTAGTAGATATTGTCTTCTTTGAATTTTCTCTTTTAGGCTTTCCCTCAAAGTTTTTAAAACGCGTCTGCTAGGGAGAGGTTTCCTTCGTTCCCCTCTCCAACTGATGTGGGATCTCACAATTCACCCCCCTTCGGGGCCCATTGTCCTCGCTGGCACACCACCCGGTGTCCACCCCCCTTCGGGTCTCAACGTCCTCGTTGGCACATCATATGGTGTCTGGCTCTGATACCATTTGTAGCAGCTCAATCCCACCGCTAGCAGATATTGTCCTCTTTGGGCTTTCCCTTTCGGACTTTTCCTTAACGTTTTTAAAACGTGTCTGTTAGGGAGAGATTTCTACACTCTTATAAAAATGCTTCGTTCTCCTCTCCAACCAACATGAGATCTCACACGTTAAGGGAAAAAGGCAAGTAATAAAATTATTTTTAAAATGCAACATTTCTAAACAAGAAAGGGCATAACAAGAGTAGGAACACATATCAATAAGTAAATACAATCACAGGTCTTAAAAAGGCATCTCATCTGAACAGTATCAGTCTCTCAAGATAAGTACATTACTCATAATATGATCCAACAGTGGTAAAGGGAAAAGGTTATAGGAGGGCAGTGAGCAGAAAAAGTAGCAATACTGCAATACCAGACGAATTTTGTAACATTCTGACGTGATATCAATCATTTAGAATGGCTTCAGAGATGGTGCCGCCTCTCAAATTGGCTTTGAGGCTAACCTCAGGGATCAGACACTCACCTCTGGCATGAAGTGATATCCAGAATAAAATAGAAAACGGGCTTTGCTTGAAATGCAATTCAAAATAATGAAAGATTTCCTACCTCCTGAAGAAACATAAAATGGAATAGAAAACAGGTCTCTTACCTCCTGTGGAATTGCTGATACATGGTTTCCACTGACCACCTTTATAATAGTGTTTCCATATCGTCGATATCTGCAGTTATTTGGAGTATTTAATGTCACAAGAATCGCAGAAAAGATATCGACACGTAAAATTCATATCATAACATCTTTATAGAAAAAAATACATTAACCAATTTTCTTATCAGACTTTTATGCATAGGAGTTTCAGGCTTTCTGTTCATCCATTTTGAAGAAACCAGCTTTGAGTCCCGACTAGCCATATCTGTAAGACAAAACAGAGGCCTAATTTCCTTTTTCCCACTCAAATACCATGTCCTACGACTCAACCTGAGCTCTCGACAACGCCATGCCATGCAGTCATTTCACACTTTCTAGTCATTTCCTTAAAGCATAAAACATGCTCATAAGTGATAAGCTTCCAACAGATAGTTGTTTGAAATAAAAAAATAAAAAAAATGTAAGAAATAAGAGTTACTAATCTATCTCATCTCAACAAAGTCCCTCCGATTGAATAATCACATTTGAAATGTTTTGCCCCACAGAGAAAAAGATGAAAAAGTGAGAGAAATCAACAAAGAACGCATTTCTTTTCCATGAATTCAGGAAAAAGAATTCATATCTTGAGCATCACTCGTTGGTTACTAATTCGTCGACATTCAATAACCAACTATTAAAGGTTCCTAACTATGAAGAGTAGATCAAGAAAAGATGGCAAATCAAATTAAGGAATCCACAAGAAACCACCAATCGAATTGAATTGTAAAGGAGAAAAGCAACAAGAAAACAGGACACCC